CATTCCAATTCCTTTTTATTTCTTATCCCCTTCCACACCCTTCCCTCCTACATGCCCTCTCAATCCTCTCATCCATGAGAAAGAACTCTCTTCCCACTTCCTATCATCTATCAAGCACTTTGCTCTTTGTTTCTACTCTGGGTCTCTCATAGATGAGAAACCACGTGACGTTTAAGCCTGTGTGTCACTTAACATTGTGGTCCAAGGTGCACCAACATTTTCCTGCAAATGACTCAAGTGTATCTTTCTTTATGGCATAGTAGTTAGTGCTCCATTGTATGCAAAGAGCACATTTTCTTAACCCATCTGTTGATGGACTTATAGGCTGCTTAAAATCTTGGCTATTATGAATTGTTCTGTTGTAAGTAAGGACATGCATGCACCATTCTAACAGAATGACTCGACTCTCTCTGAAAGATACCTAGAAGGAGACTAGTTGGCTCCAGTGAAAGTTCTAGTTTTAGTTTTGAAAATCAAAACTGAGTAATAGGAATTCAGAGTCTCCAATGCTGAAAACACTTTGGTGGAAATGTATTTTTGATTTAAGAGAAGATTATGTCATACCCATTATTTCATTATAGTTTTATCCTTTTGAATGTCAAGGTATTGTTAGGCTTCTTTAATTATAAATTTTAATGTTCATATTATCTAAGTTCTCATCTTTATATAAATATTTTATCTATGGAAAAATTTTAGGAAAATGCACTCAATAGATATTTTTTTAAAAACACATAAAATTGAGTATCCAGTCTGCTATGATGTTGAAATTTATCATAGCTATTAAAATACTCAAAGACCTGTTGCTTCCCCCCACCCAAATGTTACCTGTTTCTTATCTAAATGATACATTTAGAATCCACCTACTTAGAAAGCAATGTACTCTGTGACTATCTTTAATTTAACATATTATTTACCATGAAAAAAATTAATCTTGTCAGTAAAACTCAAGTTTTTTGTTTGTTTGTTTTGTTTTGTTTTATTTATTTATTTTTTTTTTTGTGCAACCAGGGATTGAACTCAGGCCCTTGCACTTGCCAGGGAAGTGCTTATTCTACTGAGCCATCTCCCTGGCCCCAAAACTCAAGTCTTGATTGAACATCTCATTTTTGAAATTGAAATAGAACCACTGATTACAATATAATTAATTCCTTTCCCTATACATTCTAAAGAGCCAGCCTCTCAGGCCCAGCCACTTGCTGTGTGATAGCATTCATTCTTTAAGTACTTAAGACAAAATCTTCCAGAAGAAACACATATTCATGGCTAGTGTCTGTTCAACTGTTTCCTTTTGGAAAAAGAAGCTCCTGCACAGTGTATCCAACACACATTTTTGTGTATCTCTCAATGAATGCTGATACCAACCTTTGAAATCAGACTTTCAAAGTTAACCTGACATAGAGATATTTGCATCCACCAACGCTACATCTTTCAAGTTTGTATACTTGCTATGAAGTGCTTATTTCTATAAGATGCCTTCAATTTTGCTTCAGACAAAGAAAGTCTTTATCATGTAAATAGATATTTGGGGATTTATATTTAAAGAGGCTGCATATTTATTATTTACTGGAGAAGAAATCTCATCCATTATTTTTACTTTGAATAATTTTCTGATATGTTATTTCATAAAATATATATTATTTTATGTTTCCAGTGACTACTGCACAATGCTGTTCAAAATCTAACCAATCTGCTGGAGATATAGCACAGTGGCATAAGCACCCGCGTGGCAAGCACAAGGTCCTGAGTTCGATCCCTGGTACTGCAAAATCAACCGCTCAGTCAATCAATCAATCAATCAATCCAACCAACTTTATATTAATATGAAGCAAATATGAAGTTGGAGAATTGACATCATTTTTTTTCCTTCTTGGTTCTTTATGTACACTAAGTATTCTTTGTTTCACATTTTGGCCCAGTATATACCTTGTTACGGGTTAAGGGCTATTTGTAACATTACCACATCCCTAATGATTTACATTATATCTAAATAGCAATAGCAAGGATTTCCAGAAGAGGATGAGTGTTGCTCATAGAGCTTCACAAATTACTTTGTTTCCATCATAACAACCTAGCATGTCTACCTAAAAGAGAATGGAAGGGCCAAGCTGACTTCAAAATAGACATTGTCTTCTGGAATGAATGACAGGTGCAGTCTGAGTGGGACTCGGGCAAGTGAGGCCAGGGCTAGAGGTGATCAGATCTCCCGGGAACATGCTCGATGTATGCAGCCATTGCTCAACGCCTATCCTGCTGTATGGTGCTATAGGAAACCACAGTCCCTGTGTGTGTGTGTGTGTGTGTGTATGTGTGTGTGTGTGTGTGTGTGCATTTGCAGGGGGGATGGTGATCCCTCTAATTCCAGCCCTGTAGACCTAAGATAAGTGCTATGAAACATTTCTCAAACGAGTACATAGTATACCTAGGAACACAGCAGAGGAGGGGTGGGATTTTTATTTGATTTTTTTGGTATCTGGGAAACATTTTATATATATGTATATATAAAGGATACTTTTTTATTATCATTAAATTATATAGATTCAGTGCAGTGTTTTCAATGGATAGCATGTCTACACTGTGTTTATACTCATGTCTTAGAAATCCCATCCTCATCCGGGCAAGACCAGCACGAGGTTTCTGGACACTTCTCCATTTTAAAGGCATCCCAATCCCCATCATCCACCTGGGAAATGAAACCTGATAAGCTTTATCTCTTCCTTCTTCATTCTTTCTTTCCCTTTTAAAGAAATACTGAGGGTAAAGGAAGAAATTGATTCCTTAAATCTACATTATTCTCTTTTAATAGCCTATTTCTGACTGTGACTACACACCTACCCATGCCCACACCCACACACAAACACACAATCAACATATATGTGTAATTAAATTGGAGTGGTTATTTTGGTAGCTTTATTTTTGCTTAATTTGATAAATGTCAATGATTACCTCATGGAATGCCAATACAGTCAAAGCATTTAGC